TTCTATCCGTAATACTAAGCCTATGACTTGTTATGCCCTAGTCTCTTGTGTGCCAACCCACAAATGTTGTGGTACTTCTTGCTTTAATTAGGTTCAATGCTGAACCACAACGTTTGTGGGTTGGCACACAAGAGGCTTAGTATCACGGATAGATACAGGATAAACATGGCGGAGACTAGAACTAGTTGGCTGACAGTAGGCCTGTTTTACCATAGATGTGGTCCATATTGCAAAGGTTCGACCATGAGACTTACTTGGGATCTTTAAACCCAAGTTAGTCTAGCAGACGCAAAGTGTGGGAAACAGCGCCTCGTGTAGCACAGATGGGGTGGCATGGGTCGAGTAAAATACTTGAACCAGGGAGATAGCAGACGCATCTTACAGGGCAAGATGGAAAATCTGATAAGACCTGGGGAAGGACGACTGCGTAACAATATAGCACATTCTTATCAACATTACCAGCACAAGGCTTAATGTAGATGAGAACACCAGTGTGGGGTGTGGTGGGTTCTCATGAAAGCCGCTCAAAAAAGCACACCACATTACATTTAATTAAGTGGGGGAAAAATTGTGATAATGAAGGCGTGATACGATATAGGAAAGGTGAATAGCCTAGGACAGAAGGAGAGATACCACAATTGTTTAGCACACATTTGGTCAAAGGATCGGCTTCACTTGGCTCTGACGAGTTGTAGTGCGGTGCTAAAAATAGCAAGTTTCACTGACGATGCCGGCGAAACGTCTGGGAATGTAACACGTCCACGGTCCGACTCTGGAAATGATCATGCATACAATGGACTCCGGACTAGGTGCGTTCCTCTAAGTCTTCCTACCAATATGATCAAGTTGCGAAAACAAGGTCAAACAACTTCTATACAACGAAAAAAGACTGCGACCACACAAAATGTCACACCATCTTGGTCTTCATATCTTCGATTAAATTATGTTTGCCTATTATCTATTAAGAACACTGTTGACTTCATTTCTGACAGTCGTTCATGCTCTGATTGAGACAGCTTGACCGCTTTAGTCTTTCCTTTTAATAAGCAAATCTACACTAGTCGAATTAAGAGCATTGCTCTAGCCTGATGAATTTTCGAAATAAATAGTTCTTTTCTGTATATTTATATTTAACTTTATATCCAGGATGTAATAGCCTTTTTTAACACAAGGCTAAGTGAAATGCAATGGCAATGTAAGGCCTATTGCTTTGATTGCGACATAACTCATTTATCACTTCATGCGATCTGGGATAACCAAGTTTTTATTACAGATTAAGCAATATTTTATTTTATACAAACAATACTCAATGTTACAAGATTAGTGACATTTAATAGAATAGTGAGACATTCCATCGTTTTTATTAAACGAAATTCAATTTTATCATCTTACACTACTTTAAGTGACTGGTTCCTATTCGAGCAATTTAGTCTGCTCATATTTTCATAT